GAGCACACAATAGATACAAACTCAAAGTTAACCGCACCAAACTTGATTGCAGGAAATAGGACTTCAGCAATAGAGTAGTCAATGTCTGGAATACTCTACCCGACCCTGTAGTTTCTTCCCCAAACCCCAAAAACTTTAACCTTAGACTGTCTACTATTGACCTTACCCCTTTCCTAAGAGGTCTGTAGGGGGCGTGCATAAGCGCACCAACGTGCCTACCGTCCCTGTCCTATTGTTTCTCTTATTCTTCTTTTATTTTTCTTATATGTACCCATTTCATGTATTCACAACTATGTATACACTTATACTTATTATCTTGTAAACAATTGGCAAATAAATAAATAAATAAAATAAATAAATCTTCAGACCAATTGCATTGGCAAAATTCTGGCTGCTGCAGCTCCATCCCAGTCAGCCATGGTCACACATTCATGATTTCCAACACTCCTCCCAGTTTCCCAACGGGGAATCTGGCAGGAGGTTGGGAATTGCTCCTGCTGCCATTGCTGCTTTGGCTACTTGTGATCATTCTGTTTATCTCTCCTGGTAGGTAATTTTTTTATTTACTATTCTTCTTCTTACATCACACTGCACTACCTTTCTCTCAAAGGATGGTCCAGCAGGTCATAGGTTGTTTAGCATTAGGTACACCTGTCAATTCTGAGCTTCCCTTAGGCATGAAAACTGGCTAAGGACTTTGCGCCAGTCACTTTCTCAGCACAACCAATTTGCAGGATGGCAGAAGTACTAGGTATGTTTGCCTCCCTCCTTGAGTTATATATTATTAAAAAGGTGGGATAAAATAATAATCATATATTATGATATAAAATAGTAATAATTCCTGCATGAAAGCAGGACCTGATGGGATCATAAAGTAGAATTCCAACAGAAAGGCACCTGCCACATAAGAACCCAGACTTAAGTTTTGCTGGTAAGACAAAAAAGTCTAGATAGTGTACATTGCAGTAAGAAGAGCAGCAAAAGAGAAGAGAAAGAACTGGAGAAAATCACAAAAAAGACCTGTAAATAGAAGTAAAACAATAGTGCCAAAAGAAATTTAAAATAGTACTAATAGTAGGTGCAACCCCAAAACATATGGAGCATCACTTAAACTCCATTGGCATTGACAAAAATCACCATCAGTCAATTGCAAAAGGCAACTTGATGTGGAACAGCTTATATCCTGTGACCATAACTTTAACACTATCAAACAACAACATCTGCTGATCCCAGGTCAAAGGACTCAACAGGTGGATTAAAGTGCCACATCCAGTCTACATCTCTGGTTGATTGTACAACCAACCATAATCATAATGTGTGTTATTGATACATAGTAAAGAAACATTCTGCAAGTTTATCCTAGTGTAATGATATGCAAACCATAAGATTGTCCTAGCCATTTTTGCTGCTTGAAGAGGTTAGGATGCCTTCTCCTACTCCAAATGCAGTTTAGGTCTTTATTTAGATTTGTCCATTCCAAAACATCGAAATTCTTGAGTTTCATGCTACGTAGTAACAAGTTCACTGTAATGTAAAGTTTATGTAGGGCAGGACTGGCTCTGTTCAATGAGGTATTCATATCACTGGCTCAGTTCCTTCCTTCATAAAATAAATAAATTCTGATCTGAATATGAAATGGAAATGGAAGCGAATCTCCCATGGGAACGATTTTGCCCCTATGACTCCCACACCATGAAGGATGTTCAGCGGATCCTGTTGTATTGCAATTTCTACTTGAACCTGTATGATATATTAATTTGGCCCCTCATAAAGGAATTCCCAGGGAGAGACAACCAACACAACATTTCCTATCTTTTAAGAGACCATAAGACCACTACTATCAATAATGTAGGTAAATTTTGCCTCACTGCTTCAAGAGCGAGGCAACAAATATTGTCCAATAAAACAGCACTCCTTAGATATCTTTAAAATATTTCCTCTGCTATCCCCCTCTTTTTCTCCCTCCAATTCTTTTAACTTCTTTAAATGGACATTTGTAATGTATATTTAATGTATATGTATAGACCAGTGTTTCTCAATCTTTGTCAACATTAAGAAGTCTGGACTTCAATTCCCAGAATTCCTAAGGAGTTGAAGTTCAGACACCTTAAAGGTGCTAAGGTTGAGAAACACAGGTAGTGATTTTACCTAAAAACAGGGCTCATCTTGTCAATGTACAAACTAAACTTAATGTGATAAAAAATAGTAGTTATCAAAAACATTTAAAGTTTGTCAGCTTTGCGAGCGGCAGGGATTTGCGATCCTGCGCGATCCCTGCCGCGCTAGCCGCTTTGATGCCTCCGATCCATCGATCTGGAGGCTAGGGCTGCCATGAAGAGGCAGCCCAAGATAGGAGGGATCTGGACAGGGGGTTGGGGTCTTCGCAGACCCCTTCCCCACCCGGCTTAACCCTCTTTCTCAAGGCGGTGGAGCGGCGGTCTGTAATGGCCGCCACAAAGAAGCTGACAGCTGGACAAGATCGTGCTGGAGGAAGAGAAAGTGCTGAAGCGAAAGTTTCTTGGCTGAACTGGACTATAAGACACAAGTAATACAAGTAATATCCTGAAAATTCGGATTTTTTGAAAGATACTTTGTTTCCAGAAGAGATTTACAAGCGGCGAGTGAAAGTGTTTTAAGAGAAAGTTTACTCTCCTTCCACATGGACTTAACAAATGGATATTGAAAATCCTGCTATTTTATAGAAGGTAAAAATTTAAAGCTTTCTGTTATAAGTGGGAAGGGAGAGGACAAAAAGAAAATTTTCATTAAGATTTTGCTGGAGGAGATGCCTGGAAGATTTTGAGATTGGAAGTTAATTGTAATGAGACTTTAAAATACAGATTGGGTTTTTTTTTTCCCTTGCCAACTGATATCACCCCAGGAAAAAAAAGTGTGAAGAACTTTGTGTTCTGTTTGGATTGTTTGATGACTTTGGGATTTTGGGGAATTGTTTTAAGTTTTGAATTATCTTGGTTGTTTTAAAAAGAAGAAGAAGAGAAAAAAGAAGAAGAAAAGGTTTATAATGGTTTAAGACGGTGTGAGAGAAATTTTTTGCTTTTTAGATATGGCGTTTGCTACTTATCAACAAACACAGCAATTAATGGAGGATACAGAAGAAGAAGAAGAAGAAGAAGAAGAAGAAGAAGAAGAAGAAGAAGAGGAAGAAGAAGAAGAAGAAGAAGAAGAAGCCATCTTTAACGAGTTTAAAAGGACATAAGACTTAAAAAAACATCCAAGAAAGAGGAAAATAAGATGCAAAATCAATATACTGTTAGAAAGCAAAAGAAAAGAGAAATGCAACAGAGGGGGGGAGTGAAGGGGGGTAAAAAGACCAGATGGGATAAGATAGGAAGGAAGAAGGGGGGAAAAAGCCAAAAGGGTATGAAATAAGGTGTGGAGAAGAAATCTTTTTTTATGGATAATGGGTAATGCATAACTTTGTTTTAAAATGTTTCTGCAAGGTACATGAAAGTATTGTAGTATTTGTATGAGAATTAGAAAATTAGAATTTTATAAGGCTTAAGTAAAGATTAAAATATTAAAGGTTTAATAATGATAGATTTTAAGATTTAATAAAATACCATGTTTCTCATATAATAAGGCTGGGTCTTATTTTTTTTTAAGCCCTGATAAAATGGCTAGGCCATCTTTTCGGGGGTGACTTAATTCCCCCCCCCTTGCATCTTTGGGTGGGCGGGCGGCGACGGCTTGGATGTTGACCTCGGCGTTGGTGGGGCACTTCGTATCGGGGTCAACGCAGGCAGCACCATATCCAGGTGTGCAACAAAAGTACTTCCTAATGGCAAGCCCCCCCACCATTCCCCCCCATTTCGCATGTTTTAATATAGGCCTTAATTTGGGGGGAGGGGCTTAATTTCATTTCATGCCTATAAAACATGCTGGGACTTCCTATTGGGGGAGGCCATATTGTTGGAGAAACAGGGTATTAAAAGGAATGTCTAAAACATTTAGTTTAAGTATAGAGTTTAATTGACTATTGTGTTGATGTTCGTATGAACTTATTATTATGGTATTTGTTTTTGAAATAGATAATTGGAATGCTATGAGATTTAATGTTTAATTATATATTTAATTACTTTATGGATTTACTATTTTAGTAAGTAGAATGTACTAAGCAGAATTAGATAGGGAATTAGAGGTTAATGTAGGGGAGCGATGGAAAGGCATCATACTTCGATTAGTGATTTCAGGAGAAATTTTTTTTTTAAATATGAATGAGATAAATGGATAATTGAAAAGAATGGACAAAAGATACAAATATAATGATTTAAATTAAGATGAAATAAATAAAATAGATTAAGAAGAGTGGAAAGCGGGGAGAAGTTATAATAAAGATATAGAAGGGTAATAAGATAGGTAATGGCATATAAGCTGAACATGAATTTAATTGAAGTCCATACAAAGAGAGGTAATCCGGTGCCAAGCTACTTTTTAAAAAGAAGTTTTATGTTTTTGTGTTTTGTGTGTGTATGTCTGATTGAGATTTAATAAAACCTTGGGAGAAAGCGAGAGGAATATTTGTAAACAAGGCAGAGGGAAATATGAATATGATGAGTATAAAATGGATAAATATAGAAGAAATGTAATTGAATAAGAGTAAAGAGAAATAATGAGAAATTTGCTAAAAAAATATTTAAGTGGAAATGGGATATATTAGAATTGTATTGTATAAAACAATGTATTATTTGCCTTGTAAAATTTATAATGGAAAGAGGTTCAATGTCTTCAATGTTTAATGATGTTTTGTTTGTCTGTAAAATTAATAAAATTTGTTTAAAAAAAAATAGTAGTTATCTATGCTGCTGACAATGAATTCTCAACAGCCTATTGTGAAACATGCTGCATTTCGTTTTGTTTCTTACACAAGAATGGATTATTTACCTAATTTTTCTATTATCTTTTGCCCTTTCACCCTCAAAGACTGAACAGAACACTTAGGCTGTGAAGTTGCAGGTGCTTGTCAAATCCATAGCTTTGCTTCACACCTGATTCCCCACCTGGAAGCAAGCAAGAATAACCCTGAAGTGCTTCTCTTGGAGCTGACTGATGAGAAAGCTGCTTAAGGAAACTACTGTTTAGGCTGGATTTGTCCAAGGCTCTCAGCCATTGTGGCCTAGCAAGTTTGGATATCCAAACTTGGCAGCTTTAAGACTTGTGGACTTCAACTCCCAGAATTCAACAAACCACAGTTAAACACAGAACTCTAATATGATGTAGTTATCCAGTTTAAAACTATGTTGAGTGGTTCAGTTAGAGAAAGCCAATAAGAAACTCATTTCATTTTAAAGACATTGAATCCTATAAGATTTCAGAATCTTTGCACAAAGCACCTATAAACTTTATACAGACCTGAAAAAATCCCAAGACTTAGAAGTTATGGATTTTTTTAAAAATTGCCTGTTAGAAAGAAAATGACATATGCACACTACCTGCACGTTCCAGGGTTTGATAGGTTGGTCATCCTTCATGCAACAAGACTGTGTCAAGCAATGAGAAGCTTTCTGGGCCAATAGATCCCAAGCTTCCATGTTGGCTTTGGCAACATTTGCTGTCGGATCTGCTGGATCGATAATCACAGGACTGCAATACAAACACATACTTTTTTAAAAAAAAAAAATCACAAAATGTAACATACGCTCACAGGAGAAATGAGAAAGAAAGAAGAACTTTAAAAATTTGTTACTCCAGTGCAGTGTGTGCCAAATAGACTCCACTTTTCAATATGTTGTTTTAATGTGTTTTCCTTCCCTAATTTATACCAATCAAATAGTACTATGTACTATTATATATAGTAACTACAGGGCAACTTAAATATGGCATGGAGAATATGAGTGGTTTTTATGTTTGCCTTTTGTTTACTGGATATCAGCTATAGAGTCCTACGTCAAAAACTCCGTAGTCTCTGGCAGTAGGAAGAGAAGAAATTTCACTCTTTTGCCTCCTTCATTCACTCCTACTTTGAGATAACAGGAAAGCAGTTCTCTCCAAGAGTAATAAGTGTTGTGGCTCCGGGTTTGGATTCTGCTCCTGTGGCAGATATGAGTTCAAGTGATGAGGACATGGCAGCAAAATATGAGCCGGCATTGCTTAGCGATTGGAATAGTAACCAGGATGAGGAGATGGATGTAACAAGGGAAGACAGACCTGAAGTAATAGAGTTGTCAGGACCTTCGACCTCCTCTGATTCTTTATCTGATCAGCAGTTGGGAATGGCTGACAGGGAAGGCATGAGAGAGTTTTCCAGCGGAGGTGAGAATTTGGAAAACTTATGGTTAGACGTCAGAAACAGAAGGAGGCTAAGGAGACAAACCCAGATAGAAAGAAAGCGTAGAGCTAGTCAATAATTAGGGAAATTAGCACGCTTCCTAAGTGAATAAAAGGACACAGCTGGGCTGGTGGAATTCGCCAGAAGCAAAGTGACTAATTGGGAGTGAAGACATTGCAGCAGACTCTCTGAGGCTTGTGATTTACTGCCACGACAGGATTGCCGAACAGAGTGAGGATTTATTGCTGTGTATTGGAATTCACGCCAGCCGTTCTCTTGTGGAACTTTGTTTTGGTTTGAATTAATTTCTGAAACGGCTGCTTTTTGTTTTGCTCGCCTGCAATTAAAGGGGAGACATAACAAATAAGTATATTTTTCTTGCCCCAAAATATTCAAGCAAAATGGAGGATTGCTAGAACACGTAGGCTAAATTTGTTCAATTAAGATTTAACAGGTAATTCAAGAGAAATACAGTCTGATTATCACTGTACCCAAATGAATGAAAGCTTATGTAAGAAAAGACAACAAGAAAGAAGTAGTATCATTACCGTGACTCCTTCAATTTTCCTTTCACATGGAGCCCTACTTTGGAATTATCAAGACTGTAGTACTTAGTCCAATAGAGGCAGAGATCCTGGTACCGAGTGATCAATTTCATCACTGTGCAAAATCCTTCTGCTGTGTTGAATTGTTGTTCTTTCCTTGTTCCTTCTTCCCAAGCATAAATGGTAAGTAATTCCAGAGCAAATTTTGGAGGCAATTTGAAGGACATGCTGGATTGCTGGGGGGAAAATACTATCATGAGACCATTTATGTTTCTAAATGGGTAGGGTCTTTTTAAAAAAATAATCACTGCATTAAGCCCATTGGAGACTTCCTACACTCGGTTATCTTGTCCTGAGCTTTGGCATAAAACAGCACTGCTGCTGGTTGTTTGACACTAAATTTCAATAAACTTGGGAGAACTCTGTTCCCTACACAAAAGTTTTAGGACCTCATATACTACACAACTTGCACATTCTTGTTGTAGCTGTTGCTTTTCCATCAGCCAATTTTAGTAGATGGATTATTTCTTTCTGCACCAGCTTTCCCCCTCCCCTGGATGCTTTTCAAGGTGTCTTCCTAAAAAGAGCATTGGATCTGAATCTATCTGGTCCTCTCCCAATATTTTGAATACTGCAGCAAGCTGGCCCATGCTGGCTCTAGCCAATAGAATCCAAAGTCAGATATAATGGTGGCTTTATATCTATCTCTATGGATATTTTCCCAGGACATCCAGACCCAAGGTGGAATAGGGAAAACTAGTATTGATTCTTGACTTTCCTTTTGGGGAAGACAAATGGAGGACCAAAATAAGACCTAATCCTTACTATTATTGTGGGGTTAAGGCTTAATTGGTGGCAGGCCAGAAAAGTTGAGCAAAGGGATAGGATGTCAAATAAATGACTGGACAATCACACCACACTCCTGTTTGAACAGAAGTTGGACAATGTCAAGGCCAGGCATGATCTAAGGAGGCATGATCTAAGAAGCAAAGGTCACAGGGACTTTGGAATAGAACAAAGAGTTTCAATGCAAGCACTAGGAGTATGAAATCTTGGAAAAGGCAATTGAACTCCCAGCCCTCATTTGTTAGTGAGATTCTTTGAATGTTTTACATCCCAGATTTTTTTTTTCCAGCCTGGACTGAGTAGTTGTTTATGAAATATACAACAAATCTATCAAATTTATTTATCTATCAAATTTATATGCCATCTACTTCACACCAGGTGACTCTGGGGGATGAAAAATAAAACCTACCATCAAAGCGTATTATAAAAAAAAATCACTTAAAACTATTAAGTAATTTAACATGCAAAAGAACATTGGTTGGTTGTTTCCTCCTGTTACTTTTCCAGCCTCCCCAACTTCCCACCTCATAATAGCTCACCTTGATTTCTTTGTACCAATGCTTGACCAGCCGTAGCAGATCTTTGAGCTTTGCTGGACAACGTTTCACAAAATTCCTCTGCAGCTCCGTGAAGGAAGTATTGAACTCCCCTGGCTGTCCGTTGGCTTCAATCAGTTCGATATAAATCTTTGTAGGTGGCACATATGTAAAAGTTATTTGGCCTAGGAAGGGGGAGGAACCAAAGCAAACCATTACAATATTTTTGTGTGATATCATGCTCTATTGTGCATTCTTAAGGTCATCAACAACTGTCATGTCCATCCCCATCTCTTCCCTCTGGGTGACTCCTCCCTGAAGCACAATGAGATTTGCAAGGCTGATATCAACCCTTCAAAAACGGCCACTTCACAAAACAGATTCTACATGGAAACCAACATTACACTTATTTGAGATAGGCTATCATAACAACATCGTGCAAGCCCAAAGCTTCTTATGCCTCTCTCTCTTATACCCTAGGGATCCAGAGCTGCTTCTTAATATTGTCTCTCTTTCAAGAACTTAAGGAATCTTTGTTTATATAATATTTTCTGAATATTCAAGGTGGTCTCCCTGCTTTCTACACTATTAGAATGAGATGTTCTATTAGAACTGTTCTGTGAAATTTATTTATTTATTTGATTTATATTGCTGCCTATTCGCCCATGGCGACTCAAGGTGGCTTACACAATGTAAAATCATATTTAAAACAAAAAATAAAAACAATAAGAACTAACAAAAAGAATCAATTAGTAAAGTACAATAGAACAAAATTTGGGAAAACAAAACAAAAACAAAAACCAACTCCCACCCCTCATCCCGATGACAGCGGGTCAAACTAGCCATTTGATGGGTTCCATCCCTCTCTGGGTTCCCCAGGCCCATTGGCAAATCCAGGTCTTCAGTGCAATGTGAATATGCACTGTGAATATGCACAGTGAAATGCCAGCAAAGTGGGGCTTCCTCTTTCTTGGGGAGGGGAAGGTACTTCATACTGTATGGACTGCTACCAAGAAGGCATGAAGGCAGCAAGAAACACCCCATATATATCTCCTAGTTAGGGCAGGTTGATTCTACCTGGGACAGATGATCCAGCAGGAACATAAGACCAAACCCTGTATAGCTTTACAAGCAGGACCTTGAATTAGGCTTGGAAGCATATTGGTCACCAAGGGAGTCATCTCAGCATATCTCAAACACTGCAAAACTATTTCTCATTATTAGTAATAAATTCACTACATTTGGGCTAGTTAAAATTTTGAGTTTCCTAGGACAGTCCCATGCAAACACCATTGTTGTTGTCTGACTATGAGTAATAAGCACAAATCTCCATTGAGAGGGCCTCCTGGTGCATGCGGAATATAATTGGTTCTCTATAGTCATGGTGAAACTTCCTATGCTCACCCTATATTAGAATTAATAAGTAAGTGTGTGACCAGATTCCTCACCTAAAACATCATATGCTGGGAGGAGGTCCACTTCTACCAGCTCTGTCTTATTTTTCGCCTGGATTTGGAGTTGGAGTGAGCGTGTTCCCTTCTTCCTCGGTGAGATGTCAACTTTGAAAGCAATCGTCTGGATACTATTAAAATTCTTTTCAATTTCCTCGATCACACGTTCACGCTTCTCTACTTGGTCCTGGAAGCTGGAGAAGCAGCTGAAGAAGATAACCAGATCAACATCTGAACTCATATCCAGAGTTGTTCCTTTTCCTGTGGAGCCAGCCTATATATGTATAAAAAAAGCAAATGTTTACTCTCTCACCATTTGGTGACTTAAAACAGCAAATATCTCACCAACTCTAAGACAAATACTCGAATACAGCTCAACAGTCTGGAACCCACATTACGTATCTGATATTAGCACAGTTGAGAAAGTCCAGAAACATTTCACAAGAAGAGTTCTCCACTCCTCTACTCGTTGTAGAATACCTTATGCCACCAGACTTGAAATTCTAGAACTAGAAAACCTTGAATTACGCCGTCTTCAGTCTGATCTAAGTATGGTATATAAAATCATACATTGCAATGTCCTACATGTCAATGAATACTTCAGCTTCAACCATAACAACACAAGAGCACACAATAGATACAAACTCAAGGTTAACCGCACCAAACTTGATTGCAGGAAATACGACTTCAGCAACAGAGTGGTCAATGTCTGGAATACTCTACCTGACTCTGTAGTTTCTTCCCCAAACCCCAAAAACTTTAACCTTAGACTGTCTACTATTGACCTCACCCCTTTCCTAAGAGGTCTGTAGGGGGCGTGCATAAGCACACCAACGTGCCTACCGTCCCTGTCCTATTGTTTCTTTTATTTTTCTTATATGTACCCATTTCATGTATTCATAACTATGTATATACTTATACTTATTATCTTGTAAACAATTGACAAATCAAATAAATAAATAAAATAAATAAATAAAAAAGGAGAAACACCTGCACCAGTGGTGGGATTCATTTTTTTTTTACTACCGATTCTGTGGGTGTGGCCTGGTGGGTGTGGCAGGGGAAGGATACTGTAAAATCTCCAGTTAGAGGTGGTATTTGCTGGTTTTCTGAACTACTCAAAATTTCCGCTACCGGTTCTCCAGAACTGGTCAGAACCTGCTGAATACCACCTCTGACCTGCACCCTGATTGTACAGAACACACAAGTTTTGCAGTTTCCCTTCCTCTTGGGATAATCGGTGTTCTGACCAAGGCTTCCTGAGACAGTAACAACCACACCCTGTTCCCAAAAACCTTGTTTTTATTTCAACGGCTGTGAATTCACAGCCCGTAATGAGTCCCAAACAGTTTGTGAATAGTCCAACAGAAGTCTGCCACGGTCTTTTGGGATAAGGCTGAGAACCACCCACCATTTTATCTCCCTTGAAATGCTGCCAATGACTAAATTGCTAATTAGCTGTACAAGGCCAAATGGAGCCCAAAGTCAACATGGAGCTTCAGGTTTCAAACCAACTAGTACGAACAAAATTGTTTCCTGCAAAGGCTCATGTCCCTTTGCTCCTCCTTTATGTGTTATGGGAGCAGCCAATCATCTCCAAGCCTTACTCCCAGTTGCCCCTTTTGTCTTAACTGTTCTTGCCTTCTGGCAGCTCTGCACAAGCGTGCACTGGGAACAGGCTCCCCCTTTTCCTCTGCCTCGCTGATGTCAGATTCTGGAGGCTCTGGAGGCTCTGGAGTCAGCACGTAACTCTCAGATAGCCCTGGCCTCAGCTCTGTGTCAGACACAGATCCCTCATCCGAGCCCTCCCCAGACTCCAGGACTGGCCCATGTTCCTCCCCACTGTCCGACTCTGCTGCCAGCTCCACGGGCTGCCGCTGGACTACAACAATTGGGTCCTTCACTCCAGATAAAAATGACTAGGCATCCGTAGTTTGGCCAACACCTTTCATCAGAAAATGGTTAATGTCAAGTTAGATTAGAATATGTTAATGTAACTGCATATAATGTAACACTATGGGGAGGCCTCTTTCACAGTCTTTACAGCAAGTAGTGTTCTTGCTCCTATCCATCTCTCCCTATGAACCAGCATTTGTGTCAGTTCCTGAACGTCTATCAAGGACATGGCCACACTGGCATGAAGTCTGGCATTTATTTCCTAACTTCAGCGCCCACATTTATTAAGACAGTCTGGAAAGAGGGCTGGTAATTTGGTACCCTTAACTAAGTTGGCCCAATGGCCTAAAAGAGCCAGTGCCACTCTATCTGAGATGTTATCTTACTAAGAGTTGGGTTAGTTAGACCAAGCAAAGCTCACCTTTATTGTCTTGATCACGCTGGTATCCTTGTCCAGTTTACAGTTTTCTTTCAGGAAAGAACAAATTTTGTTGACAGCATCACAGACATTCTCTTGAAACTCCTTGCTGGGGTGGAGGTTCTTACCAATATAGCCATCAAGGCTTTTAGAGGAGATAGAATACAGCTCCATTCTCTCTGCAGGGTATTCCATTTATGCTACAGGGAGAAGCCGCCTGACCCTATTTATCTTATTGCCGCTGTCTGATGTCACCACACAGGCTCTTAAGGTGGACTAGACTGTGCACAGTGCAGTCAGATTTCTCAGACGTGTACTTTCAAATAACGTGTATAAAAGCTGAATTGAAATAAAAAATAATAATTTCAATATTGTCAAATTAATGTACGGAAAGCAGCAAGAGAGTATTTTGTATCTGACTAAAACGAAATAAATATTTGTCTATGTTGGAAAAACCTCCACCCTTCATGGTAACTATTATTTAAAAAATACTGGAATTCCTTTAACATAACAAAATGTGCAAAATAAGTTTTTACTTACTGTTCTTGCTAATCGAAGTTCTCTAACTCTAAATATATACCAACTTTTTGGGGTGGGGTGGAGGGTGCCCTAAAAGTATTTTCATAGACTGCCTTAAAAGTCTAGGTCGGAATCAATTTCAGGGCGTAGCGGTTTCATTTCCCCCCTACGCGAAACTAAAGTGCAGGAAAAGAAAGTGATGGTAAACTACTAGAGGGTGAAAGGCAGGGAATCCTCCAAGCGAGGATTGGAGTCTTTGGAGACGCAACCTCTCCGTTTAGATCCCAGGATGTCCAGTTCAAAGAAAGTTCAAGCAACGGGCACTGAAGAACGGCTGTCAGATTTCCCAAATGCATCCCGCATTCAAGTTGCTAGGACTAACCGCTCCCATCGTTCCCACCCAAGACAGAGAGAAAGGGCCAGGGGTCTCAAAAGAAAAAAAAAATCTTGACAAGAAGTGCCAAGCAAACTAGTTAATGATGCTGGGAATCTCAGGAACCAACAACTTGATCGCGATTAGGGTCACTCCCTGGGCTTGAAACAGAAACTTAAGAAATCGTGACAACTCCTAGCGCAGAGCTGGCTGGAGAATTCTGGGAGTTGAAGTCCACAAGTCTTAACGTTTTTATTTATTTCTTTATTTTATTTTGTCAAGCGATTATTAGATAACAGGTATAAGTATAACCATGGTTATGAATACATGAAATGGATACGAATAAGAAAAAAAAGAAAGAAACAATAGGACAGGGACGATAGGCACGTTGGTTGGTTGGTAAATTGGCAAGTTGGGGGACCCCTGCGGATTGCAGCCTCCACCCCCATTCGGGGAAAGGAACCGGGTTGCTCAGCCTAACCTCTGAAGTTGGCTCGTCGCCAGGCGAACTTTGGCAGCCCAGAATCTGTTAGAAAGAGCCACTGGTTCCCATTTGCGGCATGGTGTGCGATGATAACAAGGGCGGTAGCCGGGCGCCCTTCCCTTTTCATCGCTGGGTGTATCTTTATTTTATTTATTTATTTGATTTGCCAATTGTTTACAAGATAATAAGTATAAAAGTATACATAGTTGTGAATACATGAAATGGGTACATATATGAAAAATAAAAGAATAGGAGAAACAATAGGACAGGGACGGTAGGCACGTTGGTGCGCTTATGCACGCCCCCTACAGACCTCTTAGGAAAGGGGTGAGGTCAATAGTAGACAGTCTAAGGTTAAAGTTTTTGGGGTTTGGGGAAGAAACTACAGAGTCAGGTAGAGTATTCCAGACATTGACCACTCTATTGCTGAAGTCGTATTTCCTGCAATCAAGTTTGGTGCGGTTTACTTTGAGTTTGTATCTATTGTGTGCTCTTGTGTTGTTATGGTTGAAGCTGAAGTATTCACTGACAGGTAGGACATTGCAATGTATGATTTTATATACCATGCTTAAGTCAGACCGAAGACGGCGTAGTTCAAGGTTTTCTAGTTCTAGAATTTCAAGTCTGGTGGCATAAGGTATTCTACAACGAGTAGAGGAGTGGAGAACTCTTCTTGTGAAATATTTCTGGACTTTCTCAATTGTGCTAATATCAGATACGTAATGTGGATTCCAGACTGATGAACTGTATTCAAGTATTGGTCTAGCAAATGTTTTGTATGCTCTGGTTAGTAGTGTGATATTACCAGAGAAAAAGCTACGTAGGATTAGGTTAACAACTCTTAATGCCTTTTTGGCTATGTAGTTGCAGTGGGCTCTAGCACTTAGATCATTAGAGGTGAGTATTCCAAGGTCCTTTACAGAGCTTGGGTCATCAACAAGATCTTGACTATTCAGCTTGTATTTTATTTTCTGATTTTTTTTGCCAATATGTAAGACAGAGCATTTATTTGTTGAGATTTGAAGTTGCCATTTGTTTGACCATTCTGATACATAGTCAAGATCTTTTTGTAGGGTAGCAGTATTGTCTGTGGTATTGAACAGCTTTACGTCATCAGCGAAAAGAACGCAATTGCTCTTAATATGATCACAGAGGTCGTTTATGTAGAGTATGAAGAGAGTTGGTCCCAGAACACTGCCTTGGGGGACACCACTATTGACAGGTACTGGATTTGATAGGACGCTCCCGATTTTGACCATTTGTTGTCTGTTTGACAGGAATGCTTCTATCCAGTTATTCAGTTGTCCAGAGATACCATAGGATTTTATTTTTAGGAGTAGTTTATCGTGTACCACTGAATCAAAGGCTTTACAGAAGTCTATGTAGATTGCGTCTATTGCTTTGCAAGTTGTGTTGTCCATATGTTTTTGCAGTGTAAGAGTTGTAGATTACAGGATAGTTTTTTTCTGAAACCAAATTGTTTATTGGAGAGTAGGTTATTTGTCTCTAAGTGGAGGATGATGGATTGGTTAATAATTGATTCCATGACTTTACAGGTGACGTAGCGTAAGGAGATTGGCCTGTAATTTTCAACTAGGCTTGGGTCTCCCTTTTTGAAGATGGGGATGACTGTGGCTTGTGACCATAGGTTAGGCAAGGAGCTGGTCCTGAAAGATTTTTCAAAGATTATGCTTAGAGGTTTGGCTATTGCAGTGGATAGCTTTCTTAAGAAGTAGGCACATATTCCATCCGGTCCAATAGATAGAGATGGTTTTAGATTGCGTAGTGATTTTTCAACGTTGTCTTCTGTGAAATCGATATGTATTAGATCATTATTGTTATCTGTGGTACGGCTAGGAAATACTGACAAGGGAGGGATGGACCTTGAGTCTTTTAGTTTGTTGTTTAAAAAATTGTAAAAAGCACGGGTGGAATTGGTGCTTAGAAGGTTTTCCTCTTGTTTAATGTGATAATTGATGCATTTGGTCTTTATCTGGTGGCATAAATTTTTGTATCGGTTTTTGAAATTGGCAACGTGACCAGTTTTGTTTTTCCTCCAGAGTGATCTCTTTTTGGATTGAAGTTTCCTTATTGATATGGGTAATCTGCTTTTTTGTTTTGTTTTGGGAGTTGTTGTTGGTACATATAGTTTGATGACTCTTTTGACTTCAAGTAAAAATATGTTGTAATGGTCTTCAACAGTATTGCATCCAGTGAATAGAGATTGCCAATCCAGGGATGAGAGATCGTTGTCTATAAGATCATAGTTGCCTTTTTTGAAGTTACAATTGGGGATTACATCATTGTGGTGATTTTTGTGTGGACGTATGTTGAGACAAAAGTCAATCATATTGTGGTCACTACTGGAAAAGGCTTCTTTAGTTTGTATTCCGTAAATTAAATTCAAACTATTGCAGAAAATGAGATCGAGGCAGTTGTTTAGTCTAGTGTTGTTGGTTACTAGTTGTTCCAGTCCCAGATTTGTAATAGCATTGTAGAAGGTTGTGTGTATGATTTCAGTTGTACAATCATTTAGGGTCCAGTCAATATGAGGTAGATTGAAATCACCAAGAAAGATAAAAGGGTATGGGCAGGATGCAGCCCATGTTAGTAATGTATTTAGCTTGTTTACATGTTCGATGTCATAATCAGGTGCTCTGTAACATAGTAAGAATCGAATTGTGATATTTAAGGATAGTTCACAGATGATGGTCTCAGGAAGAGCAAGCTCCTGCGTAACTTGGATATTTTTTAGATGTAAGGATTTTTTATAGAATATAGCAACACCACCTCCTCGACGATTTTCATGATCTGATCGGTAAACATGATAGTCTCTTACTGTGGTAATGGAGTCGGGGAGAGATGCATTGAGCCATGTTTCACAGACAAATATAATGTCGAAGTTAGCCATATTTAGGAGGATGAGAAATTCAGGTATTTTATTCACGAGGCTTCTTGCATTGAGTAGTTTGCATTTAAGGCCGGCAGTAGTTGGAATTGAGGTAGTTGGGGGCGTGCGTGCCTAGTCTTGGGTGATGGTGGATCGGTTGAGGTAGGGTTGTGGTTGAGGGTAGAAGCTGAGTATTGGGTTGCGTGGCTTACTTTTGATACAGTCAGCATGGTAGTCAATGTACAGGTCCTTCTCTCCATTGTCTAGATGGTTTTTGAGTTCAATGCAGAGTGCACGGGAGCGGGCACGTTGCTGTATGGTTAGGTCAGGGCGGCAACGAAGGTTCTTATGGTTGGTGTTGGTTTTGGCGAGTGAGTTTATGGTATAAATGAATGTACGTTTGCTTGATTCATTTTTGCAAATGACCCTGCACAAGCGTGGGGCCACAGAGCCGTCTCTATTTTTGAGCTCTCGGTCGATGCGGGAAATGTCAAGTATTTCATCAGCGGAGATGGTTGATGCTTGATAATCTCTGATGATGTTTCGGACAGTTGTGATGTCATCATTGACATTGATGTCCTCTAGACCAAATAAGATGGCGTTTGGACGTTTCCGTTCACGCTCAACGGCTTCTCTGATGATAAAATGAGAATGTGACACCTGGACTTGAACCAGAGATCTCTTGATCAGGAGTCAAATGCTTTACTGCTGAGCTATATAGCTATATAGCCTCAGAATTGTAGAAATTCGATGCCCCCCCCCTGCCTGAGTTTTAGATTAAATAAAATCCCTGAGATCTGTTCCGCCGCTAAGGCGTGGAGGAAAAGAAAGGTTTCAAGTCTCACCCCCGGCTAGAATGAGGAAACCCGCGAAGCCAACAGGTCGGGGCGATTTTCAGTGCCCAGGAAACGCTCCGCTCCTTAGCAAATACCTCAGAGAACAGAGAACTGGGCAGGCGAGCCGGGCGGAGCACCTCACAGGGTCTCTCGTAGCCCCCATGTAAGGCATCAGTTGGACTGATGCGTGTAGACTGTGTACAAAACACAAGAGGCCGTTCTCAGATAAGATACCCTGGGAGATTAGATATCATTTATCTCCTCAGACTCTCAATTTCAATTCCTAGTGGTCGGAACACGAATGAAATATATATGGAATCATTCTCATAGCACCAATTAAATTGTGGGAAAGTCTTAATTCCTTATATCTGGCTCCAGCAATGCCTTCACCTATTTTTGAGATGTCTCTTGGACAAAACATATGCAATAAATGTGAGGCTGAACCCTGTGGGCAGGGTTGCATTGTGACTACACAGAAGAGCTTAACATTCCAAGACAACATGCAGGTCCTACAACTCTTCCTCCTAAAGTAGTTTTCTTGACAAAACTGGTGTCATTCTCCTTCCTTCCATTTCATTTATAAAGGTTGACCAGATGGTCACTGAACTTCTCTACCCATGGCAAACTATGTGGTACTGGAAAGATCTTATCCATTGGTTGATTGTTCTCGCTGTCAGAAAATTTCTCCTTATTTCCAGGTTGAATCTCTCCTTATTCAGTTTCCATTCATTATTCCTTGACTGGCCTTCAGGTGCTTTAGAAAATAGCTTGACCCCTTCCTCTCTGTGGCAGCCCCTCCAATATTGGAAGGCTGCTATCATGTCTCCCCGGTCCTTCTCTTCACTAGACTAGTCATGCCCAGTTCCTGCAACCATTCATATTTTAGCCTCCAGTCCTTTAATCATCCTACTTGCTCTTCTCTGCACTTTTTCTAGAGTGTCAACATCTTTTTTATAGTGTGGTGACCAAAGCTGGATGTAGTACTCTAGGTGTGGTCTTACTAGGGCTTTATAGAGTGATATTAGTACCTCCCTTGATCTTGATTGTATCCCTCTGTTAATGCAATTTAGGATTGCAATGGCTTTTTTGGCTGCCGCTGCACACTGCTGGCTCATATTTAGCTGGTTGTCCACTAAGACTCCAAGATCCCTCTCACAGTTACTGCTATTAAACCTGGTTTCACCCAGTCTATATGTGTACTTTTGGTTTTTCTTGCCTAAGTGCAGGACTTTACTTTTCTCTACACTGAATTTCATTTTGTTAGATACGGCCCAGTGTTCTAGTCTGTCAAGATCCATCTGGATCTTGAGCCTATCTTCTTGGGTGTTAGCTATTTCTGCCAGTTTAGTATCATCTGCAAATTTGGTAAGTTCCCATTCTATTCCCTTGTCTAAGTCATTAATGAAGATATTGAAGAGTACTGGGCCTAAGACAGAACCTTGTGGTACCCCACAACTTACTTTCCTCCATGTAGATTTAGACCCATTAAGGACTACTCGTTGAGTACAGTTTGTCAGTCAATTATGAATCCATCTGATGGTGATGCTATCTATCCCACTTTTTTCTAGTTTGCCAAGAAATAGGTTGTGGTCTACTTTGTCGAATGCCTTGCTGAAGTCTAAGTATGTTATGTCCACAGTATTTCACTGGTCTACTAATTTAGTCATTATGTTGAAGAATGAAGTAAGACTGGTTTGGTATTATCTGTTTTTAACAAACCCATGCTGACTTCTAGTTATTACTTTACTTGTTTCTAGATGTTGGCAGATCTGTTTTTTATTATCTTTTCCAGTATCTTCCCAGATATTGATGTTAGGCTGATTGGTCTAGTTTCCTGGGTCACCTCTGTCTTGGCTGGCACCTCCTTTCTGCTCCCTGGTCCATTTTCCATTGCCTGGTGTGTGTGTGTGTGTGTGTGTGTGTGTGTGTACATGCACGTGCGTATATGTATAAAATTCTACCCAGGAGAATTTTTTTTGAATTCTTTTTCCCTTTAAAAAGATGAAATAACAACATTTTTTAAAATAAAATTGAATGAAAACTAATAGAAAAAAAAATCAGCACTCACACAACAGTGGTTAATTTTTTTTTCTGGAACACTATTGCAGAAACTCAGTTTTTTTTCTTGCAAGGCCACAAGGACAGCAATAGTGTTGAAATAGGTTTATTTTTCTTTTTCTGTCTCTTCATCCATCTTCACAACCACCTAAGTCACTAATGTAACTTTTCTAGGGTTAAGAATCTTCAGAATCTGAGACTAGTATTTTTTTTTGAAGATGATCCAGGACCATGAGGCCTAAGGGAGATATTTTCCCAAATCACTAAGAAAATGGTGTTTCTGAATTGTGTTTGACATTAGCAGTAAAGAACTGCAGTTACATAGTACTATTATTTAACACGACTAAGAGCTCTTGGAATCATTTCTATTTTCAAAATACATTTAAGTCCTATTTGCCGTTTTGTGACCCATCATTTCTAAAGCATTATTATAATGCTTTACTTCATTGCAAAACAACTTCATATTTTTTTTTTAAAAAAATAGAAATTTGTGTAAGGGAGAAAGAAAACCCAAGCACAGCAAATTGTAGAATATCTGAGATTTGTTCCAACTTCCAAACATTTTATGTACAATATTTTTTCAGACTACATAGGTGAGTGGAAATGCTTTGAGACATAGCAGCAGAAGTCTCTCGAAAGGAAGAAAAGGTGAAATAAATAATTATAAAAAGCCCTTCTACTGTTTCTGGACTCATCAAAGCTTCAGATGGCCTGATCATCTCAAATTTTTCTCACTTATGGGACAATTTAGGGGCAGCTTTACCCAAGAATGTAAAACTGAGAAACTGGATTTAAAAATTTGCGTTGCATTGTCACACGTCTACAAGGCAGTTTTAATGCCTAATGACTAGTATGTCTAAACTGCTGCCCAGTCAAACATCATGTCACTCTCACTCCCCACACCTTCCTTGGGATTGTTCATTCCAGTCTCATTTAGATTAGGTAGGGATAGTCACAACCTTTGAAACTGCTTTGAAACTGCACACCAGATAAACTGCTTATGCCTCCCTCTCTCTTTCTCTCTCTCTTTCCTCCCCCCCCACCCACCAGCAAAATTTATTGCCCACCCAATTCCAGTGCACTTGGGAGTATTCCAGACTTGGTCCTCACATCTCAGCCCAATCCAGCTTGCTATATTACTTTCACATCAGCACCTGCACCTTTAAGTTCGCTTTTCTACAGAATAACAAACAAAAGAATGATCAGGGCATTTTTTTTTGGAAAGGCAGATAATTCCATGTTTACTGATAGGCTGAGAATGGTATGAACATTCTGAGTGCCACACAAATTGCTTGAAAATGAGCCAAGTGGCATCAGACCCTTTTTTTTCTTCCAGAATTACAGTTGAGCTTTTGGGGGCTAGCAACTCCCATCCCCAACCGGATTGACATAGGAATCAAATGTTGGTGGAAGATAATCTGTTTAGCAGGAAGAGTGGGAGACATAATGTACAATTCAAAGCAGGGCAGCTGGTTTTCTTCACATACCAAATGAGTAATCATGATCGATTACTAATCAAAGATCCAATATCTGCATGCTTTCCAGAACAAGAGAGTATCCCCATAACGTTGGCTCACAGCAAGGATCTCCTTTGGACTGCTCTTTCTCTAGAAAGGGTCTCATCTCAGGCAAGTGAAAAATCCTCTGGGGCCTTGACTAAATACAGGTGGGGGGAGGGCAATTTCTGCTGTTTGGTTCCTCTGCTTTTGCATCACCATCACTATCACCACAACAACTTGAAACTTCTTCTCGTACAAGTTTATGCCCAGAAAATCTAAGTCAGAAATGAACTCTGGGCAAGAACAGCCCTGTTTGTTCCATCGGAGGATAAATCTTGTTGGCCACCCAGGAGGGATGGACTACATTCATCAGTCAACAGTCTGTTAATAAATACATCAGGGGTCGCTTTGTTTTTCTGGAGACAGAGCACACACCGTGGCTACTTAAGCACAGTTATGCTTGGATAAGGAAGGGAGAGGAAAGAGGGCCAACGTCTCCCTCCAGGGTTTAGACAGGATACATTGTGAGAGGCATCCAAGTGCTCTCCTTGTCAGGAGCCGACAGAATATCAGTGGAAAAGCTCCAGAAATAAAGGACACTTAGAGATCCCTAGGTAACAGTTTGGTAGCCATTGGATCCTTGCAGAAAATAACTTTGTTTCCCGGTGAACTCTGCCTGTTTTTTTTTTTTCTCACTGGTCAAGGATGTTCAGGATGTGGCCTCTAGTGCACTTGGTCCCCTGGAGGCTGCTACCTTCGTCTTTGGTTGTGTATTATGGACAGGCCAAGAGTGCAGAGCTTCCCCCATTTCCCCCAGGTTCTGTTGCTCTCTGTCAAGAGTTTGAAGAGTAGCAGCTCTGCTACTAGAAAGGGTCTCAGGCTAGTGGGGAAAAAATCACACCAACATTACCAGTCCCCCTACAAACTACAGGAGAAGCAGCAATCAGGAGTATGGGGCTGGTCTGCCAGGATGTCCTTTCCACCCAACCACAGAAGCCGTAAAAGATCCTCCTCTTTCTCTTCTGCCATCCCTACTCCCATACTCCCACCCTGCTTCCCTGGCCCTTCCCAGCACAGAGGTTTGTATAAGTGGGTCTTATGCAAAGTCACCAGATATCTGTGCTCCGAGGAGCCCTTTCTGCCCGGGGCACTTCATGCGTTCTTCGGCTGCGGGCTTTCCGTTTTTCCTCCAGGTGTTTCCATTTCTGACTTTTAGATTTGATGTTAAATAAAGGGGGCAATGGAGGGGGCTTTTTCTTGGGCTGGTGGCTCTTGTGGCTCCACAGTTGCTCGCACACCTGGTCCATGGTGCTGAGATTGGGGTGGTCCACCAATTGTAAGAAGTCCTGATACCAAAGTTTGCGATGGAAAGGTTGCGTGGATTCTTCTTCCCGAGAGAGGGAGAGAGAGTCAGCCTGCTGGGCATGGATCACTTCAAGCTGGAGGTGCAGCAGGCCCTGGGTAAAGCCGTGCTCCGTTGCGTGGCAATAATAGAAGCCGGCATCTTTGCGTTGCACGCTGCGCAACAGGATTCCCCGCTCCATCCTGATGACCCGACTATCCAGCAATACCTGGAGGTTAATGAAAGACAGACAAATGAAACTGGAATGAACGATCCAAAAACCAGAGGAATTTTAAGTCTCACTGTGAGATCGTCTTGTTACTGAAATCTGTCCAAAAAGATCCTTTCAGGACATTGATATGATTGGAGTGCCTGCCAGAGAGAGAGAGGAAAGCATCTCCTCTAATGTTGCTCCAAAATCATGGAATGGATTCCTTCTAATAATGCAAGTCCTTCCACTCATTTTACTTCTAGAAGAGATGACGATAGGCCTCTTAATTTTTGGGTGTTCCATTTTTAATGCCTTAAAGAATGATTCCAGGGGACTTTATTATTGTATTAGCAATAGCAATAGCACTTAGACTTATATACACAGTGCTTTACAGCCCTCTCTAAGTGGTTTACAGAGTCACCCCCAACAATCTGGGTCCTCATTCTACCCACCTCAGAAGAATGAAAGGCTGAGTGAACCTTCAGCCTGGTGGGATTTGAACTGCCAAATTGCAGTCAGCTGGCAGTCAGCAGAAGTAGCCTGCAGCACTGCATTCTAACCACTGCATCACTGCAGCTCATATTGTTTAATTTTAGATTTGCTCTGCCTTGATCATTTTTTTTAGCAAAAACAGTACATGTATTTAGAAGGCTGAAGCCATATCAACAACTTAATCTGAATTTCTTAGCCTTGTTTCACATTTATTCCAGTAAAAGTGGGATCATCACTAGCATTCAAGATGCAATTCAAGGTTCTTCGCTGTCCCCTTTAAACCCCTAAATGGCTGAGGCCCTAGATATCTCTCAGTTGGTCTGCTTTGGGTTAATTCTATTCATCTAGTAAGATCAGGTGGAGAAGGCTTGCTGAGGATTCCCCCCCCCCCCATGGAAGGAATGGCACCTGCAGAGATCCAACAGCTAAACCTTCATGGCGATAGTCTTCTTTTTATGGAAACAGCTTTCCTTTGGATATCCAGACCACTCCCTCCTTGTTATTTTCTTTTTTAAAAAAAGACTTCTATAAAACATGACTGGCTAAGAAGGCTTTGAATATAAACTATACTATACTACCCTGAAAGTGGTGTAGCCAATTCAGTTCCATGTTTTTGGATCATTTTGTAATGATTTCCCACCTGTTTCTCTCTGTATGGCCTTGATGTAAGCTAGTCGTTATGAATGGAGTGTCATACAAGTTGGGATACATGAATGAAAGGTTGAATAAATAAAACACACTATAACTTATACAGATAGTCCTTGACTCACAACAGTTCATTTAGTGATGGTTCAAAGTTACAATGGCACCAGTGGTGGGATTCAGTTTTTTTTTACTACTGGTTTTGTGGGGGTAGCTTGGTGGGCGTGGCAAGGGAAGGATACTATAAAATCTCCATTCCCACCTCACTCCAGGGGAAGGATATTGCAAAACCCCATTCCCTCCCCACCCCATTAACCAGCTTTTCAGCTCTGCAACAAAAGAAGACCCAGCCAATCAGCTGGGATTCGGGAGGCAGAGAATAGATGGGGGCGGGGCCAGTCAGAGGTGGTATTTGCCGGTTCTATGAACTACTCAAAATTTCCACTACAGGTTCTCCAGAACTGGTCAGAACCTGCTGAATACCACCTCTGGATGGCACTGAAAAAAGTGACCGATGCCTGTTTTTCACAGTGATAACCTTTACAGCACCTCCTTGATCATGTGATCAAAATTCAGACGCTTGGCAACTGGTTCATACTTATGACTGTTGCTGTGTCCCAAGGCCATGTGATCACCCTTTGGGACCTTCTGACAAGCAAAGTCAATGGGGAAGCCAGATTCACTTAACCACCAGGTTACCAACCTGTCAACTGCAACGATTCACTTAACAACAAAGGCAAGAAAGGTCACAAAAATGCGGCAAAACTCACTTAAGAAATATCTCACTTAACAACAGAAATTTTGGGCTCAGTTGTGGTTATAAGTCAAGGGCTACCTGTAGTGCTTTATAGACTAAGCCAATTATCCAAAAATAGCTAACGAGGACATCCTCTATATTGCTTCAATTGTAGCTGGTTGATGCTATCAGTATGCTTTTTGTCATTAGCAGAAAAATGTGTGCACTCAGCAGTTAGGTTTTACCTCCTTCTGGGGGTCACTTCTAGTCTTTTGATAAGTCCACACAATCTTGGCCTGCAATGATTTTGGCAGACACTCTAGGAAAGTGCTGCTGCCTTCCACTCCATAGATTTTCCTTTCCGGTACACTGGTTTTCTGCGGATCTGTACAAAATCAGAATAACAAGGAGAATAAAAAACCAAATTGTCTATCAGTTAAATGATGAGGAGCCCATATGCACATGGGGCCCAGTCCAATAGCAAAGCCAACCATCAGGAAAGAAGCATAAAAACATTGTTGAAACTAATGAGAAAAGAGAATGGTTCCTTGAAGCACCTGTGAGGGCAGGATATGTGGGTCTAGAAAAAAAAACAACCTATGCAAAATCTATGTGAAAGAAGTTATTTCTGCCTAGAAGGATTGATGGATATGAACATTTAAATGACTGGAAAGGATGGATTCTGATAAGATATCCTATCAATCCTCTGCCATATTTTTCTTTTGTGTTGGGTTTTCTAAGAAGAGGGAAGATACTGGATTTAGGCAAGCATTTGGAAAACGGTTTAAGTAAATTTTCAGATTTTTATCCTTGATTTCACACCTTATAGGTCTGGTAAATGTATAATTGTTGGATTCTCTCTTTTTTTTCCATGTGATTGTTGGATTGTGTGTGGGTAGAGAGGCAAGACAGAAAAGAATAAAACCAAGAACTGTCCCAATTCATTAGTTACAAATTGTGAGAGATTGGGGAGAGAAGCTATTTATGGACAAAAAACAAACAAACATAGATGGTTGTAGGGCATCACACCCTTTGGTCCCACCTCTTTCTATCAAAATCTGATAGAATCTGATAGAACAGCTCCAGATTTTGGATGAGAGAGAGAGAGACAGGTGGGGATGTGCTGTGCTTCATAAGAATATTATCTCACTCACCAAAACACCTGTTTGCACTAGGCAAATTACAAGGACCTTAACTTGGAGTTAATTCCATAAAATAGTCTTGGTATACTGTTGGTTTACTTTCTGCTCTGCTGCCAAATATCCTTAATGGCTAAGGCATTGATAGCAATCCTCGGAATTTCAACACTCATTCAGTGAGATTGATTTATATTTCTAAACCAGAATTTCATAGCTTTCATGGCTGCCATGTATCTACCGCTGGACCCCATGATCAAGATTAGATCTAATCCAATAACATCATTGCCCTCCTGCAGGGATGGGGAGTCAATTAAAATGATCCTGCCATTTAGAGTTACAGAACTAAATTGATTCTTTAAAGGGTTTCTGTAAGTCAGAGTCCAGAGATGCTGTTCAGACCCTTGTCTTATGGAATGGGGAAAGAGAATGGGCCACTGATATTCTCTGGCACTGCAGAGACCAGGCTTCAGTGTAGTTTTCTTGGAACTTACGTACAATAAACATGATTCAAATAGATTGAAAGTGATAAAGGGCTCACTGTGCAGCCAACCATTGAGGCATTTATTAATTTGTATTTGTGGTGATGGCTGTGAAGATGAATTTATTTGCTGCTTCCATTACAGCTTCCACTATATGTCCAGATTCAACTTTTTATGGCAGACAAGAGCTTACTATTATGGGGCTCAGATAATCCAATGTCAGAGCCCTGTTCACCTATGAAGGATAAATTTAAACCATTTTTCATTTTAATGCAATATCATCTAAGCTGACACCAGCCAGATTTTAAAATAAATGAAGAAGCTGTACAAAATCAGAAAATGTGGAGACAGCTGGGCCATAGAATTGCTGAGAATCAGTCCCGATTGAATGGATAGCATCCTTATCATCCTCATCTCGACTTCTCAAAACTGTATATTAAGTTAAAAAAGATAGTCGCCTTCAAAGAGAATTCAATTTCTGGGAGCAACTTTGAGACATTTCTGTAACTTTTGATATGCCAATGTTTTGTTGTTACTATCTTCCAGGATAGTAAAGACAGAAAAGAATAAAACCAAGAACTGTCCTGATTCATTAGTTACAAATTGTGAGAGATTGGGGAGAGAAGCTATTTATGGACAAAAAAAACCAAACATAGATGGTTGTAGGGCATCACACCCTTTGGTCCCACCTCTTTCTATCAAAATCTGATAGAATCTGATAGAACATCTCCAGATTTTGGATGAGAGAGAGAGAGACAGGTGGAGATGTGCTGTGCTTCATTTCCAAGTCTAGTCAACAACCCTGGAATTTCCATCCAACCAACCACTGATCATATTTCACCTTCCTTAACTTTTCAAGATCAAGCTTCTTGTACAATATAAATATATCAAGAATTTTAGCACTCTTTTGATTCATGCATTGAATGAATGTTGGATAGATGTTGACATCTATCGTAAGTAGGCCCGATTTTCTGAATATTGATGCAGTTTGAAACATTTAAAAGTAAACAAATATTCATATGTTGTACAGGTAGTCCTCAACTTACAATTCATTTAATGACCTTCAAAGTTACAATGGCACTGAAAAAAGTGACTTATGACCATTTTTCACGCTTATGCAGCATCTCCATGATCATGTGATCAAAATTCAGGTGCTTGGCAACTGACTCATACTTATGACCGTTGCTGTTTCCCAGGGTCATGTGATCACCCTTTGGGACCTTCTGACAAGCAAAGTCAATGGGGAAGCCAGATTCACTTAACCACCCTGTTATCAACTTATTATCAACTGTGATGATTCACTTAACAACTGCAGTGAGAAAGGTCATAACATGGGATAAAACTCAATAAACAAATGTCTCACTTAACATAAATTTTGGGCTCAATTGTGGTCATAAGTTGAGGGCTACCTGTATTAAAGAAAGTGCAAATCTGATGTGTTGCACTAGGATTAATAACTGGCAAAATATATTCATTGGAAGAATAGTACATAATTTAGATATGCATTTCTTGGGTGGGAAATGAATGCAGAAATAGCTGGGAAAAGGCAACAGTGAAATTAAATGTCCTCCTTGCTCACAGCTCTAATGTAAGTACATCAAGAACTTTAGTACTCTTTTGATTCATGTGCTGAAGTTTAAATATTTGTGCATGGATATGTAACATGCTATGCTGAATCAAAGGGCCCATATATATGTTTTGGTTTAATGCAATCCCTTGGCTCTCATACCATGTAAAGACAACAGGTTGCCCACAAAACAGTGAGCACAAAAGCCCCGAGCTTGTTTCAGCCCAGATTTGTTCAATTGGGTGAGCAGATTTAAGAGCACTCACATCTAGAACACAAGATACTGGGATCTCCATTCCTCACATCCTGCCGTCGGAATCGCCTGTTGGGAGAAAGCACGAAAAGATTTGCCAGGTCTGCATAACCACCCTTCACTGATTACATCCAGGAACCATGCAAATAGGATTGGCCCAGTGGTGGGGTTCAAATAATTTAACAACCAGTTCTCTGCCCTAATGATTTCTTCCAACAACCAGTTCACCAAACTGCTCAGAAAGTTAACAACCGGTTCTCCTGAAGTGGTGCGGACTGGCTGAATCCCACCACTGGATTGGCCCCCAAAGGTTACAGGGCCTAATCTATAGGCTGATCCTTGGCCATACCGTTTGGTATTCTGCAGGTATCGAGTGCAGGTGGTGCCATCCCAGGCACAATAGGGGTCCCTCGCTAGGCAACATTCTGCGCAAGCTTTGCCATACATCTCACAACGGTGCAAGGGCAGTTGTGAAATGGAAGTCCTTGATCCCAGGTACAGTTGTTGCTGTTGGAAGACAAAGTCACAGAGTTTCCTTAGGGGCCACTAATATCTGGATGGAAAATAACCTCCTGCTTCTAATGGGTTACTGTTTTGAGAAGCTGTTTATGAGGCCTCACCTAGGCTGCCAGGCACCACTTTAAGGAATGTACTGTAATAAGTGTGAGAAGTAAAAAAAAAAAAAGAAGAAGAAGAAATAATTATTCCTGTAAAAGAAAAATGTAAATGGATCAATATATTTCTCTTCTATATGTTTCTCTTCTATATAACCGTAAAAACCCTGGTGAAACATTAACACAGACAGAAGTGCTGATGAGATGAAATCTATTCAGCATAAGTTCTATTAAGCAGAAGTCCATTTGAGGATAGTTGTCATGCTGACCCAGAAGAGAAGCTAGTTAGTGTAAACAGAGCAGGATGTAGCAACTGCTGAACAAATGATAAGTAATGATTGATTGCTAAACATGTCACTGTGGCTAGATTGTGAACCCAGGCATAATTTTAAAAATCATCCTAGAATCATCTGATATTAATTTCAACAATTTTAGCCAATGGGGCAGAAGACAAAAGTGGGAGGTGGTGGGTTTTGATGTGTATAAAAATATGTCAAATGACATATGACATATGTCAATATGTCAATTAAATATGTTTAATTGCCTTGGTGCCTCTACCCAGAAGAGGACTGAGTGCCATCAAGTCAATAAATCCTGGCTTTGTTCACAGTGTCTTCTGTCTGTTGATTTAGCTGAGACTTTGGAATCCCACATAAGTGAGAGGAAAATGGAGAATGGATATGATCGGAACTTTCTACATCACAAACGAGGTATCTAGCAGGGATCCATAACCTGTATAGATACGTAGGCAGCAAACAGGAAATTGAGCAAACTACTACTTTCCAAACATGAACATTTTGCTTATTTTGTTCATGGGCATCTCAAGGAAAAGACATGTGAATGCAATATGATGTTCTGAAAGAGTTGTGAAATAAATAATAATAATAATAATAATAATAATAATAATAATAATAATAATAATAA